AGTAATGCAACGACTTATTGTATAATCAGCTGATTTCATGTAATTACGTGTTTGTAAAATTTCGTTAAATAATACGTTACTATTTTTTTGCAGGCAATAATAGCTTCTTCTAGCAGCATTCTCACCATAAATACTGTATCAGTCACAGTTAGGAAAATATTGCATATTTATTTGGACCACTGAACAATATAGTGAAACAGTTAATTTACAGTTAGATCTCAGCATCGAATATGTGGTCCACAACGAGTTGGGTGAAACAACGGTTAAGAGTATTTTAAAATAAACCAGAAGCTCATTTTTATTTAACAATCTAACCTTATTTTGTTTCGTCCATTTAATGAATTGCTGGTATGTAATTTCATACATTTGTTTCGATTTTGGTGGCAAAAGATTAGCACAAACAGTTTGTGCTCTCATTTCCATCTCGTCAACTTCACTTTCACTAAAACTGAAATTTTTAAATCAGTTTAATCTACCTTCCTTTAACCACCAACTTAGGTTAAAATTACGCGAGTATCAACAGGAACATTGAACAAGACGGACCAACAATTGAAATTGTCAACTGATCAGCTGATCAGCTGATTAGTTGACGTTCGAAACATTTTAATTTTACTTCTTTTCTCTCAATCCTTGAATCTCATTGGTCCGTTACCCGTGTTGATATGAGAAAAACTATGCTGATATGAAAGTAAACAGCTGTTAAGTGAAACTTTTCAATTATTCTAAGAACTGAACTGAAATGGCTTCTTTAAAAAACGGTCGTAGGTAAACATTATTTCTTCCGTAGCAATATGAGTAGAATTTTGCTTCGCAATACAACTGAAACGTGTTACACTAAAACCTAAACTAAACCTTTAAACTAAGTTATTCTATTTTCCACATTAGCGTTATATTGTGATGTTGATATCTTTTAAAGCAATTAATTCTTTGATAGGTCTCTTTCCAGCCAATGGTAAAACAGTGGTTGAAGTCGTATGAACATCGATTTGAAACGTCAAAATATTTTAGTCTACGTTGTCAGACAATAACTACTGTAATTAACATTTAAAGATAATCAGTTAGATAATTGACTTTTAGATGCTAAAGTATTCCCTACAACATCCCTAATATAAGGACCGACCTGTAGCCAATATTAATTTTACATTAAGGTGGTTGAATTTGCTTCATAGAGTGTACCATTGTCTAAATTATATTTATTCCCTTTTAGCGAATTTCCCTATAGGGAAGTAGCTATTACCGTAGGTGGCACAGTAAGACCTAGGCCCGGGGCCGATTTAGTTTTCATTTTGATGTTCCCAGAGGCCAAAAATAAAATTTACACACATATTTAACACAGTACAACCTTGATAACAAGACTCTCAAGGGGATTATTAAGTAAGACTTGTTATCAAGGTTGACTTCTTATCGAGGTTTGCAATAACATGTAACTATATGTAGTTTGAAAATGACACTGGTTATCAAGGGTGACTTGTTATCAAGAGCCCTTGTTATCAAGGTTCCATGAGGTTCCATCAAGGGTTCCGTGTATATATACACGTCCGTAAAAGCGATAACTTGAGTAATTTTTGTCCGATTTTGATGAAATTTTGTTTAAAGGGTTAAGGTGGGATAAACTTGAATGAGTTCGCGAACCAGCATGATCGGACCATGGAATCGGGGTTTTACGGGGGATTTTATGGGGTAAATAATAGGTTTTCTCCCTTTTGACCCTCATAACACAAAATTTCTCAATTTCTCTCTAGACCGTTTAAAAGAGCTTAAGAAAACAAATAATTTAGTACATCAAAGTGTTTTGTACGGTTATTGGTAACGGAAAAAAAATCAAAAAATTGTAATTTAAAAATGCCCATGTTATATTTTTACGGAGAATATTGTAAAATGTTGTAGTTTGCTTGTTTATTGATATATTTTGATCAAACTTGGCAAATATATATATTTTGTACTAAGCTATTAATATTTTCCTAAAACACACTTGATTAGTTTCCTTGTAACAGCAAACCCAGGTACTCGTTAGACATAATGTTATTTAAATAAATTTAATTGGAAATCAATTCAGACAAATGGAATTTCGCTTGGTCGGCAGGTTTTTTGATTGTCAACAATTTAAAAAAAAAACTTACAATAAGTTGTCTTTTGGTTTAGCTTAGTTAAACAGTTACCAGTTTATTCGACATAAATTGGTGATGGACATCAACGCACTACCACGTTGGTTTTTATTCCAAAACTGGAGACAATTTTGACATGGAATAGAGATGTCTGCAGTCAACAGTCATATATAGAAAGATATGTAAGTATACATCCATTCATACTTGGCTGTAGATACAATGACTTGTATGATTCATAAACTGAGAATGCTAAGCTGAGGAGACTCGACTGGCGTGAGGTGAATGTTGGAGAACGTTTGGTGACCATATTGAATTATTCATACGCAATATGTAACAGTCTTGTGAATCACCAGCTGATGTGTCTAAGTGGAAAACTCTGCATGCAATAATGTTTGTACCAAATAATGGCACTAATTACACACAAATAGTGGCAATAATATTTGTACTCAGTGTGTATATCCATTGTACTAACACTTGAACCTTTCAAGTTTTCATTCGTATAAACTAACACTAGAGAGTGTGATTTTATTCGAAAATTACTCACTGATGAATTTATTTTTATTAACATTTTCAGCAGATATTCTCTTTGATTCGAATAACTTCAAACGTAAGAAAACTGGACGTACTAAATTGTTAACGTTTGCACAGCGTTGTGTTAGTCAAACGATCACAAAACTAACACAGCTGGACTATGAGAATGAAAAAGATTCTAATGGTTTGTTTAATTCTATCGTATGGCTTTTGGAGAATAGGATTTCCAGTTCACACAAGTTCATCTTACTTTAGGGATACATTATTTTTTTCTGTATTGGCCCAGCACCATAAATTGGGCTCCAACCATCGGGTCACCATGATTATACATTGTATAGTCAATGAGAATATCTATTGGTTATTTGTGGGATTTTAACCCATTCTCCACGACAAAGTCTTGTGCTCTTACTACTATTTTTTTATTTTTTATTTGTAGAAAGGAGGTATAAATGCATTTACACACACTGAGAAGCTCAGTAGTGTCGGACTCATAAATAACCATGAACTAAATTACTAACAAATAAGCTCTAACAAAACTATACCAAAGCCTCCTCTACTTTTGTACACGTATTTATATATTTTTCGTTGATAACTGCATGTTAAAAACGTTAAATATTTTATTTACATTTACTCTATGGTTGAAATTGAACTAAATACATATTATTTTATCCTTATTACAACGAATAATAAAAAAAAAAACAGAATAAGATAACGTTTTATTTTCAAGCATATAATGAAAGAGCCAGGAACTCCATTCATGATATTTGTGAATTTAAGTAATCTTTAACAAATCATTGCATTTATTCACTGGCCTAGTAAGTAATTACTAAAGTGTAAATTTAGTCCGATAGAAATGATGAATAAATTACTTAAAATCTGGATTTTAACAAATTTTTTAATATAAATTAAAATATTATTAGTTTCTTCGTATATTCTAAAAATTACAAAAAATCCGATCTGAATGTTATTGCAGGCGTTTCTTAACCACACCACTGACAAAACATTATTTCAAACAAACGTGTTGGATAAGTTTTTTTTTATCTTTCTAACAAATCCACTAATACCCTAATAAAAATTAGACTAATACACTTTTTTTCTCAACATTTTCAACTTCAAACTTTAAATTGCAGAAATCCAAATTCGCTCAGCACATTATCGACTATAACCATGATATGCTGGATATAAATGACGGTCTCTACATTCTACATTACTGTGGGAAAGGAAACTTATTAAATACCTTGGAGGAGTTTGAAATATATAAGGACCTAAAAACCAGTGACAGCACACAAATTTTGCATGAAAAACTCAATTATGAATCTCATTATATTTTCAACACTCTACTCAGTCACTACAATAGTCCTATATCAGCTGCTGATAACGCAGACGACAATCCAGAGTCCACGTCGGTCCTTAATAACCTGGTTCAGTCTACTTCCAGTCCTGCCCGCTGCAATGTACGTGCATAAGTTGATAGGCCTATCTGTTACCGTGTATTTAATCGTTTCGTGTTTTGTGTTCGTGTTAAATGTATGTAACAACTCTGACGACACCTCAAGAAGTATATCCTTTTGTGTGCCTGACGATGGTGGAATTTAATAACCACCGAAACATGTAGCAAGTTTATTTTCGACACTATAAAACATGTCAAGGATTGTCTGACAAGGTACGTTTTTAACCATTATTAGTCATATTACGCAATTCTGGGGCTATAAAAATGAATTATAATTCAAACTTTAAACGTTACCTCGTGGCAGTGCATGTGACAAAGTCATTCTCGATCCAATCATAAAATCCGAGAATAGCCACAGCCTCTGTAATCTTCTTCACCGCCTTCGCCTCAACAGCTGATTAATTGATTACTCTGTGACGTCACGTCAAGGTCATCTAAGTGACGTTTCACCTTCAACTCTGCCTTATTGGCGTCTAGAGACGCAATCAATTATTGTCAACTTGGCAGTCGAGGTGAAAATAAACTATTATTATGAAAAAGTATGATCAAAAGGAGTTTAGGAAGTGAAATTAGTTTTTCTGGAATAAATTTCAATAATTATTTTTGTTAATTTCGCCATGTAAATACTGAAATAAAAGTACTTTATGCTAAGACGTTTTCAAAATATTTTCTTTTTTCAATACTTTTGTTCCAAATAATAAAAATGCAGTGCCTTATGCATATATAAGCAAGAACGTAATCAATTACTGTAACAAGAGTTTTATTTCTGTTCCGAAAACAATATTTGAATTTTCATATTCACTTGATTGTATGCAAAGCAATTCTAACTATACAAACAAAAGAAAAAATTGATCTATATTGTTAATTTTTGAATTGTCGAATTTCGTTTGAGGTCCAAACAATAAAAGAGAGTATGTAAATAAATAATACTATTTTATTACTTAATCATTTATAATACTCTAGGTTTTCAGTTTGAGCAAATCAGTAATCAGGTTAATCATCTGGGAAGATCAAATCAGATCCTGAGCTTGACGAGGAAGAGGCTTGACTGCCACTGTATGTACCAGATCCCCCTCGGTTGGCTGAGCCAGAACCTGATCCTGCAGCGGAAGACGCTGATGACTGACTTCCGGAGTGACTTCCAGCTCCACCACCTCCGGAATAGGAACCTGAAGAAGCTTCGCTTTGAGACGATGATGAACTTCCACTGCCTCCATACGATCCAGATCCGGCAGAGGCAGATGACGAACTCTTGGACCCAGAGTATGACCCAGAGCCACCTTGAGATCCGGAATTTGCTGAGGATCCACTTTGAGAAGAACTGCCAGATTGGGATCCTCCACTTCCATATGACCCAGAACCAGTGTTACTAGATGCTCCAGAATTGCTCGATGATCCACTTCCGCTTCCTCCTGAACCAAAGACGTTGGCTATGCTTTCATCGAGGTTTTGGCTGTTGTAGCCTCCGCTTCCTGCTCCACTATTTGCTGCGCTGCTAGCTTGTGATCCTGCATTGGATCCTGATCCAGAATATCCTCCTGCTGGTTTGGATCCTCCATATCCACCACTTCCTGCTCCAGCTTGGGATCCTGAGCTAGACCCTGATCCAGAGAAACCTCCAGCTGGTTTTGATCCACCATATCCACCATTTCCTCCATATCCTGAACTTCCTGCTCCAGCTTGAGATCCTGCGTTTGATCCAGATCCAGAGTATCCTCCAGAAGGTTTCGATCCACCATATCCACCACTTCCTCCATATCCTGAACCTCCTGCTCCAGCTTGAGATCCTGCGTTTGATCCAGATCCAGAGTATCCTCCAGAAGGTTTCGATCCACCATATCCACCACTTCCTCCATATCCTGAACCTCCTGCTCCAGACTGGGAGGAAGCTTGTGCTCCTGCGTTTCCTCCTGAACCTGAATATCCACCAGATGGTTTTGACTCATAAGAGTCACCACTTCCATAACCACCACTGCCTGCTCCACTGTTGGCTTGAGAAGCAGCTCCAGAGTTCGCCCCGGACCCGCTCGCTAGATTTGGGGAGTAGCCTGAGTTGCTGCCTTGTCCTCCACTGCCTGCTCCGCTGCTAGCTTGTGATCCTGCTCCAGAATTTGATCCGGACCCTTGGTAACCAGGAGAGTAACCAGAACTGTCACCTTTACTACCGGCACTACTACCAGCTTGTGATGACGCTGCAGATCCTGCGTTTGAGCCTGAATATCCCCCAGACGGTCTATATTGAGTTGGTGGTGGCTGATACACTGGTGCCTGCTTGGGTGGTGGTGGAGAGTAAACTGGAGCCGGCTTCGGTGGTGGCGAGTAAACTGGTTTTGAAGCGTAACCCCCTTGTCCATAGTTTCCACCACCAGACCCACTGCTTCCAGCTGAAGCACCACTATTAGCTGATGATCCTGATCCAGAGCCATACGATTGAGGTTTCTGTCCGTATGTTCCTACAGGTCTGCCACCACCGTATCCTCCACTTCCCGCTCCAGCGGAACTGCCAGCTTGTGAGTTTGCACCTGATCCAGACGAAGATCCTGGGTAGTTAGATGACCCCCCTGAGTATCCACCACTATTGCTCCCACTCCCTGCATTTGCATTTGAAGACGACCCTGAGTTTGCACCTGGATAGCCACCACTCAAATACCCACTGCCTACTCCCGACCCTGATTGACTTCCTGCATTACTACTTGATCCCGAACCGCTATTAGATAGCCCTACCACCCCGCTGTTTCCAGATCCTCTTTGGCCACCGTACCCAGTTGACCCACTTCCTGCCGCCGCGTTCGCGCTACTACTAGCATCAGAGTGGGAGTTACTTCCTTGGTAATACCCTCCTTGCCCTAACCCATTGAAATGAGGCTTTTGGTCATGTCCACCATAGGGTGTTTGATAATGTGCAGGTGGGTAATTATCAGATTTTGCAGGAACTTCTTTGATAATAACTATATATTCAGGTTTGTTTGGAGGAGGTGCGTAGTCCCTAGGTGGACCCTCATATCCGACACTGTTGGGAGAGCAACCTCCAGGACATCCATAGTCATAGCCACCTCCGTATCCTCCAGAACCAGCATTCGCGGAACTTTGAGATTTAGAACCAGAATATCCGCTCCCGGCGCCGCTTCCAGCAGAACTCTGGGCGCTGGAGCCACTGTTGCTGCCACCCGCACCCGCTGAAGACTGACTACTGGCGGAGGACTGAGAGTAACTACTGGTGAGTCCGAAGGGGCCAAAGTTTGTTCCTAGACTGCCGCTGGAGCTCTGTGCCTGAGAGGACGAGTGAGACCCCGCAGGGTGGACGAGATGAAGAGGGTCTAGAACATTAAGAAGGCCTTTTAGTACACTTCGTCCTCGTAACCTTCGATGTTCACCATCTGAAACAATACATAATCGTCAAACTATAGTGTTCAATTTGGTTTTTAATTTAATAATAATTCAAATGAATCCTAAAATTGTCCACACAGTCGCTCAGAGAATATTTAAATGAGAAAAAACAGTCAGGTCTGCTGGTGATGTGGTCTTTTAGCTATCTTAAACTAAACACCATATAAGTTTTCGCTGAGTAACGTATAGTATCTTGTGACGTGGGGCCCATATCCCACGCAAGTCGAGAAGACTGCTGAGACAGCATCCCCGAGCCGTGGTGTCTTGGACGAAGGCAGAGGCAGTGAGCTGCGAGACACGGGGCCGAGAAGGTCTCCGAGTACAGAGAGCGTCAGTACATCCGCGTCGCGTCGTCACGTGATCGGGTAGAGGGTCGGCCGGTACCTTGATATTTTAGTGCAGGGAATATTATTAATTTTGATTTGTTAGAGTTTAAGTTAGGGAAGTTCGTTATTAATTTTCAATAAATAGTTCGTTCGTCTGCTGATTTTGTTGTGCTGTTTTCAACACCTCGCCACCTCTCACCCAAGCGAGCCCCCCCCCCCCCCCCCACAGTCACAAGGGTAGACGTGACAATCTTGATTAAGTGAATGCATTTAGTACTAAATTGGTTTATTGTATTTTAAAATCTATCCTTACTAAAAATTTTACAGTTTTGAAATATATAACCATCTTATATAGTCACCAATTATTTTGTTACCCAACCTCATCACCACATCTTCTTCTGAAGCATGTGGAGTTTGATCATGTACCTGAATACCCACTAAGAGTAGTTCCCTATGGATCCATCGGGTGCATTTCCTCCACCACAATCTTAGTATGTATGTATAGCTGATTAGCATACAAATAGTCCTCCACTGCTCGCTTCACTATTGGCTTCAAAGGTTGCCCCATACTAAATGCGTACATAGTTACGTACCCGGACTACAATGTTTAAACGCCAATAACAAATTTAAAATAAATCTCCTGTTGTTTGTGACATTTCATGTTCGGAGCACCTGAAAAGAGCCCGAAATGTTAATCCCCAAAAAGGGTTACTAATCCTACGCCTGGAAAGAGCCCGGGTCTCCAAAGTACCTGAGGAGGAGGATGATGCTTCTATCAAATGCTTTTGTAGAAAATTTAATATAATCTAGAAAAATAAATAATATTGTAAATATTTTTGTACAGGGATCATAATATTATGTTATGTCTGTTTTTTGCGAAATAAATGATATTTTGATTTTTGTTTTTGTTGTCTCATTTTCTGCCTCATGGGACTCTGTAACCGGCAGCCACCCTACCCCTTGTTGTACCTTGTACCATCGTTATTTTCCCATAAATCTTACATACTCTGAAATCGGATTTTGGTATTGAAGGAGTTAGTTAATATTTAAATAGTGTACATATACATTAGTAGTACTTTAGTAAATAGTGTTGTGTTTGTCTAAGAAACTAACCAGCTTTGAGGATTATTTAACTGAAAATTATGTTGATCTTGGTTCCCTCTCCCCCTGCAAAATTGGGCTGCAGATTCGGCGGAGTTGTGGCGTACTACAAACGCCTGCGAAGGTTTCCGTTTCAGATTCATCCAACTCTGCCCGACACCAAACCCCAACATATTTATTTATGTCAAATTTTGACTTCTATTCAAGTCAAAAACAAACAGAAACTATTTTCATTGAAATCCCATAAGAGAGGCCATTGTGGGATCGAATTCCCCCGTTCCTCAATTGGCTTTGAGAAAGCTCAGTGGCCTCAAAAGTTTTTTTGAAAAAGTACAAAACCCTGTAGACCAATTTTTATTTTAAGAAACCTGGCCATGACGTTACCGTAACAATAATTAGGAACACATATTGTCTTACTCTTTGCTTGGTATTGTACCAGGGCTTTAATAGAACTCTACAATACAACTGGGCCCTGTTATAACCAGTCATTAAACTTTCCATCAATATGTCTGAACATTATCCGAGCTGTATTTCTCCATAGACGCACAATTGGCAAAGATGATTGACCAATGGTCACGAGTACAGGCGGGAGACGAAATTACCAACCATTAGAGGTTCCGGCACTGCGACCTCTGCAAACGACCGTGACCTTGAACTTCAAGAGGTTCTCCCTCTTTCCCTCCCCTCCTCCAAGCGTGACCATTCTATTTTACTTCTTTCCCAACATACAGACGAGTGTCCAACGATCTTCGTTGACATTCGTGTTTTTAAGGGAAATGCGAAATCATTTGTGCACAATAATGGAGCTGATTGTGAAAATGTGCTTCTTGAGCTGATATACTGGTTGTAACAATTAATCATATACAGTTAGAATCTGACATACTAAAGCATCAACCATGGGCAATTATAAAGATTATGTCTTTTGTATTCTTTTATTTATAGATTAGTTTTAAGACTTAAAATTAATGGTTGTTCTGTGGCGTTATAACCAAAGAACGATGCATGTGAAATTTCTCATAAGGTAAAAGATAAATACTTAACAGTACAGCCACACACAAACGTGTATTTTACGAAACATGAAACGTACCACAAAGTAAGTTTTCAACTCTACAACACGGTGAATCTCCAGAACTTTTGCTTAACGATTATCTTGTGTATTATATAAGTTTAATCTTACTTGAGTATTAATTCGTTAATGAATAATCTAACTTGTGAATGTTAATTCATATCAAAACACCAAACAATACGGGGTTTAAAGTGTAACGGGGTGGATTTTGGAAGATCTCCCTAGAAAATAATTGAAATTTCAATGAACGATTGATTTTATTTCGGTTTAGAGACTGTATTAAGATTTTGTTCCTTTAGGCTTTCATTGGAAACTAATATAAAGTATGACGATTAAAATTTGTTAACAATTATTTAAGGTGTAAGAAAGTAAACTCAAATTCCCTTGTTTACGTGCTTAAGTAAATGTTCACGAGCAATCTAAATTTGTCAGAAGATATTGAAGTAACTTAAGGCAATAGTGTAAAATTGGTATTGTTACATTTGAAATGAACATTAAGACTTAAACGAGTGGTTTTACTGAAGGAGTGGTAAGAATGTTCTGATTATTGTTATTGGTTTACTGGCTATTGTTGTTTGAACTTAATAATATTAACTTATAAGAAACCAAGTAAGGGAATTAAAATCAATTCCTTTGGCTGAAGGAATATTATATATGGAATAAAATCAGCTATACCAATATACTAACAATGTTTTGAAATTCCTAGAAAAAACTATGCGTATCATAATTAGATACATTTGACAAATATTGGCATATGTTACTAATGCAATTACTGTAGGAACAAAAACGTAAAAACGCAAAGATTTCTCTTTCACATTAAAAATAACTGCTTAGATTTTTCGTTTGAACCGTTAGAATACTTAAAAAAAGTTAAATACACCTACAATACACATTAACACACCTGACAATTCCATCATTTTACTTATTCCAACGCCAAGAATAAGCGAACCAACCCCTATAAATATCCATAATTCGTATACATTGATCAACAGAAGCATCTTAAACATTTGAAGTACTTCCAACACAAGTGCCAACTAATCATGGGTGGGTCTACTCAGAAATACATGTTTAACTAGAAGTGAACCACGAGGATTGTGTTAGTACGTTGGCATCACGGCTTCTGGTCACGTAAATTCTACGACGAGGATCAGATAATTTTGTTTACAATAATCTCTATGACACATGTTTTTAAATAAATATCTTAAAAAACCTTATAATACTTATAATATCTTAAAGTCAAAGCTAAGGCCAGTAACAACAGCTTGATTTTGTTAATGCCTGCAGATAATACTTGGAGTATTCTCAATGGAAATGCAATTAAAACAATGACATTATTGAGAGGCAAAGTTAAAATCATTAACAAATTGCCTAACTCGATGTCAAATAAAAACTACAAAACGGTGGTTTAGAATTATATTTGAGGGTAAATTTGTCATTGTATGCTTTATTCAATGAGCATAATAACTAAAAAAAAACCAAGGAGTTGTTTTCAAATAAGCAGAGTTCTTTGTTTTAACATGCATTCTTTTTAAGTTAGTGAATGGCAATAAGTAAACAATAAACATAAAACTCACTCTTCAGGACGGATACACACAATAAAATTATCCTCAGCTGTTACAAAATGAGGACAAATCTTTAAAGGAGTGTAACCTACCTTGCAGCATGTAGGGTAGGCTAGTATATTGTACATGCAACTCGTAACTTTGGAAAACTGCTTTTACTGTCAAGTTGAAGGAATTTATATACGATTGACATAGGCTTCAAAGCTGTTATTGCAGCAGCGAGACCAAACAAGAAAGAAGAAAAGGTGATGATTCAGATAAAAATCATATTAGCTATTTACATTTGCAATATCGTAACGATACGGCAAGTAAACCTATTAACCTCCGTTAAATATAAATGCAATGTATTTTGCAAGTTAAAAGTCCAGCTGAGTGGGTATTCATAGGGATTAAATACCTTTATTTTATGGGTAAGCTTTATATCGTGTTATTATTTCACATGAAAGCCTTACCTTAACTCCGAACAACAAGCATTGGTTGAAATATATTTTGTTTGCTTCGTTGAAATATTTTGAATTAGTTTTTTATTGATTAAGGGTTCGGTCATGTTAAAAGATTAAAAGGTGATCATACAGTGTTTTTTAGCGAATTTCCCATTTAGGGAATAAGCTATTACCGTCGTACTCATGGTAAGACCTGGACCCGGGACCGATACAATTTTTTATTTTGAGGTCCCTAGAGGCCAAAAACACCATCCGTTCACATTCATATATATAAATATATGTGTGTGTCCGTTAGCGCGATAACTCGAGCAAAAATGATCCGATTTTTATGAAATTTGGTACAAACGTGTAAACCTACGTTTATTCAAACGAGTTCGCAAACCAGCATAATCGGACCATGGGAACGGGGGTTTATGGGGGACGGGGTAAAATGGGGTTTTCCCATTTTTTACCCGAAACGCAAAAATTTTACAATTTCTTTTTAACCCGTTTTGTAGAGCTTAAAAAAGAAATAATTTAGTTTATTGAAGCGCTGTTGTATGCCTAACGGTCACGAAGAAAATTCAAAAATAGTGTAAGTTTAAATTCCCTTGTTATTCTTATGGAGAAAATGAAAACTATTGTAGTTTACTTGTTTATGTATATATATTGATAAAATTTGGAAAACTTATTTATTTCATCGTATACTATTGACGTATGGTCAAAACAACTTTTTACCTTCCCCGTAGCAGCAAACCTAAGCACTCGTTATATCTAATGTTATTTAAATTGGGAATAAATATGTCTTATTCATGGAAATATTTTACTAATAATGTAATAAGACAAGTTGAAATTCGCTTAGTCTGCAGGTTTGCTGTGGTGGGGGTATTTTTTTTATTATACACCCGATTTATTACTTGTTATCCATTGTTATGTTTTTAAAAGTATTTCTAACAACATTAAAAGTATAATACTATATAAACCATCCCAAAACACATTAGTGAAATACCTCTACCTTGACATCGACGTTTTGCTTTGTGTTATGTTACGATAATGAGATTTTAGAAATCATCTAAAACTTAAAAAATATAACACTAAAACATATTTACATAATTAAAAAAATAAAATATCTCTAACTCAACAATAATTCTAATGAATAAAAACATCAACCACAAAACACAAACTAACCATAAGAATGGGCAGTTCCACATGCTAAAAGCGCAGCCACAAAAATCACTCGAGGTCCCATGCTGCACTGACACTCCACAACTAACTCCAGCTGGGCTCGCACGAGCCATCATATGTAATTACATTTGTGACGTCATGATTGTGACGTAGACCGGGTATCCCTGGACACTGGATACAGCATAGCAGCGTCAGGGCAATCCTCGGGCACGGGCATTCTGAGAAAACAAATTGACTTTTTCCAGCCTGGAATGCGGATTGCTTTTGTAGAGGATGGTTTTCTTTGTTTATTTTAGAGGAGAATCCTTTAAACATTCACATTTTTAAATGGTAAATTCTCGCTGAACACAAGGCTCAAAAAACTTACGTTGTGACCAGGCTCAAAAAACTTACCTTGTGACAGGGCTATTCGTCGGGTAACCCTTAACAGCCAGGCATTTGTCAACTTCTACCATTGACTTTGAAAAGGGCAAGCACAATTATCATCGTATCGTTAAATCTTGTTATTGGGTGATTGGGCGAATTTTATCATTGAAAAGGCCGGTTTTTTGTGCTTTTCTCTCGGCATTATATTCTTTACCACAAGACGGCAAAGAGTTGCGAAATTAGATCGTTTTAGTTTGGGTGAAAATGGATTGAACAACAAATAATACTAGTCAAAAAAACCCTCTACAAAACTAACTTTTCTTCATGTAATCCAAGAAATAATAAATCAGTAAGGAAGTGTTATATGTTTATTTTGTATGTTACTTATACGTAATTTAAGGTATTTCACCTAAAGCTTTTTTGAATGTGAGACTTACAATTTTATCTGCGGGCTTTGGAAACATTTTGTCCTTTAAGGTAAAACTAGGAAACCAGAAATGGTGCATACTCTAATGGTAATTAAATTCACTAAAGGATGTATAGCGTAGTTTAATGGTACACCCACAGGCGGAAACACGTACTTAGTTTCATACATTATATAACTTCATTATTTTTTATCAGTTCTTTAAAAGTGTGACATGGATAGTAGATAAAAAAGTACAAAAATGAAATGTTAAAACATTAAGTAACAATAGATTTGTATATTGTAAAGAATCGACATTTCACAACAAAAATTCCACATCAGCACTGGCCAAGCTTGGCACAGCATTAAGTCGATAGCTAAATTGGAATCTGCGAACTGACAAGGACACCGAAACAATAATCCTAATATGAAATTCCATTTTGATTGGACCAGTGGTACAGATGAAAAGACAGTCTCCAAAATTGATAAAAGAATATCGATTAGATTTTTTGTTCATAAGCTGTAATTATTAACAATATTTATGAATAAGATAATTAATAAGTAGTCCTTGGGGGAAAGGGGCTATAAAGTAAAAGTTTGATATAATTTTTGAACGCACCAATAATAGCTTTCTGTTAAGGATTTATTTGTCTTTGTTGTATAATTTCTCCTTGCTTAGCATTTCTAGTCACTATATTGTCAAACCATACTTTAAGAAACTCTCATAATCAAATAGTAAGTGTTTTTCAACAACAAGCGAAGCATTCAACTCGACTATTTCCCTACACTCTCTCTTCAAGGTTCACTATGAACAGTATTGAGGGATCCAATGTTTGGTGGGGAGGATTTGTATCCAGAACTCGTGCAAGACAATTCATAACGTCGGAGAATTCGTAATCGTAACAGCGACGTCGTGAATTCAAATCATGTTTCTGGAAACATTATATGTACAGTGCTACTACTCCTTACTTAGTGCTATACCTCACAGGATTATATCGTTTTCCTTGCTACTTAACATCATTTTCACCTAGAGTTACCCTGATAGGGGTTTGCAGAATAGTTTATCCCTGCACATCAATGTTTAATTTATTTTTACCAAACTAACGTATTTGAGGCCCAATCACTAGCTATTTCATTAATGCGGAGTGCGGAAAATAAGGCTCGGCTGGTCTGGTGGTTTAACTTCAGGGGTTTTGTCTGAAAGGCCTAGGTTCGAATCCAAACAATCGCCAATGGATTTTACCTTATTTAGACCTGATAGTCTAGAGAGGTCGCCGGAAGACTGTCCCCCAGAAAACCCCTCCCCAAGCATTTTCCTGCGTCAGAGATCGGGGGGGGGGGGCTGTTTTCCAGTCACGGACACTCAAGTTTCGTTGTCATACATTTAAAAAATAACCTAACCTAACCTAACCAACCATACTTGCTGTAAAATTTCAAAATTCTTTATGATGTTCCCCACATGCCTTTTCTTTTATGAAACGGAATTAATTACTCGAATTAAAATTATAATTTACATAGCATAACATTTTTCTAGAAGGGTAGTATTCCAGTCCCGCGTCACAGCTCCCATATTGGTTAGTTGGCAGATTTCGTGACGTAACGTTTCACCTGAAGGGGGGGTTTCCGGGGGGGGGGGGTAGGATTACGCATCCCCCTTCGGAGCCCAGCTTAGGGTACGTTAGTCGGTGAGTCTACATGTCTATGAAATAATAAGATCTTTCAGGCAAGAAAACTTACTCTGAGTTTGAGAACTCTCTTGATGAAGAGTCGTAAATGCAAATAATACATTCCATCAAAATCATGAGCATACACAGTAAATGCTTCAGACTCTTGTTCTTTCATTTAACAATTTGATTTAATTTATGAAGTTAAGACATTGGGACATATTACATTGGACACTAATTTTATGGGTGTTTTATTAATTTTATATTCGGCCTTTGTAAATATACTTCTTTTCCAAATAACTTAAATTTTTTCCCATATAGGGAATAAGCTATTACCGTAGGTCTCATGGTAAGACCTGGGCCCGGGACCGATTTACTATTTGGTTTTATGGTCCCCAGAGGCCAAAAACACCATCCGTTCAAACTCTGTCAATACTTCAACAACACTTTAAAAATTCAATCCAAAAGATTTATAATTTCCACATATATAAAATATTTTATATGGTTTGATGCAAAAACTGATAATCACGTCATCGACTCAAACAAAAATATCAAATTAAAAAAAACTTTTTTTGGGATGACCCCGAAAACATTAGCTCTGTAAACCCTTCCTTCCCCCCTATTAAATTAAAAAATGTTCCAATGTATAAAATGTTGAAATAGTTTAACACAGTTTCAGTGGGACCTTCTACTCCACAACGCTTGTATTCAAACACACCTGAGTTGTATTCCACATGGATGTACGATTCTTTTCCCATCAACATCCGATATCGCAGTGCCCTTGATGATGTTGCGAAAGATAAGAGGAAAACACAGCCAGTTAATGAACCTGCCACGGAGTATAATCTACGAACTGCAATAACAACAAACTTAACTACGCGGGGAAGTGGTTTACTGTAGTTAGGTGGGTTTTTACCGTGTATTCGGCGTTACCACGGTTGGGTGAACGTATAATTAACTATTTTAATGGTCTTTTGTAGCTGTAAACGTTGGGATATGAATTTTTGCTTTTTGCGGATAATGTAATAAAATAGATAGTAGTAGTGCTCGCTTGACATTCAGAAGATCGTCGGGTCTGCCCAAAGAGAAAATACTTCTCTTTGGGCAGACCAATACGTTGATGGTTCTAAACTGGATACCGGTCCTTGATAATTGTCCTTTAATAAATAGTCGGCTAAAGATGGCATTGACCAGTGACATACGGAGATACGGGTTACATACGGTGTAAGCTACGGAGATAGTCTCACTCCATTTGTATCGGTTTAAAAAAAAATACAATAACTACGCCACAGTATTAACTAGTTAATGCGTGATAATTCCCCATTGAAACAGTAATATATGGTGTTGAATGTGGCAAAGATTACTTTAAGCAAGTATGAAATAGTTGTGTAAATAGTGAGTGAAGTAGCAGGCAATTTGCACTCGAGTTACACATTATATTTGTCCTACAGTTACTATAAAGCATATAGATTATTATTAGTCTTTCAAACAGTAAACAACACGTTTTAGGTTAGGCTAAATCCAAGCGTTGAAAGAAATGGGAAACAACTGCATCAGCTGTTCGTAGCCGTAGTATCTTTAAGTGTTGCCAACCTATTTTCAAGCGTACACGGATTACGTAAATAATAAAAACACGCTGTTTAGTGTTGTTTGGTTGGTACTGGTGTGCGAAAAAGTAAAAAGTTTGCAGCGAAGTAAGTTAATGTAGCAATTTATAATCAGTTCAAGGAAGCCCACTGATTTGAGTTGTTAAAAGATAACTCAAAACACAAAGAACTACTTCAGGAACAGAAAACAAAATAAAAGAATTTATTTGTATACCACAAAATACAAACATTGATAAAGCCATGAGAAAAACGTTCAACCGCTCAAATGTGATGATCAGTTAAAGGACAAAAAATAATGCACTTCAAATTATAAATAACAAAATTTCAAAAGAAAATATAGCCAACCAAAATCAAGATCCTAGAAAATCAAACGGCAAGAAAGTCTAAGCAAGAAAGTAAATTAATTAGAATTCTGTACAATTTTCTAAAAATATATATATGAAATGGATGAATGATTTTTTTTTATCGTAACAATTTATTCTCTTTTTGAATTACTGAATTGCCCTTACTAAGATATTTAACAAACATATTTAATTTGATTATTAAAATTAATAGGATTGAAGAGTAGTTTGACTCTAGATTGGTAACTTAATTTTAACGACTACTTACCAGTGTACAGTGTCAAGGCGGGTCACAGTGTTGGAGGATGCGTAGCTTCGCCCGTGAAGGTCTTGGCCAGACTGTTACTAATTAATTTCGTGTATTATGTAAATTGCGAAGCAGTTTGCTTGTTTTAGAACTGCATCATAAATGTAATAAATTTCCCAATAAGTAAATAAGAAATTATAATTACTTTTACGACCATTTTGAGTTAAACATTTTGAGTCTGTAAAAAAGATACCCATTAAATATACTAAATACTCTATAAAATTCCTTAAATTTAATGATTTTTGTGCAAGGTAAATTCTTAATTACTTACATGCATCTTTAGATGATTTATAGTAACGAGTAATAACAATAATTTGGCATATAATTAAATGTTTTGAATGAGGCAGAATTGTAATAATTAAATACAATGCATTTGCATCACATTAGCA